AAATAAATCACGACTGAGAAGAACTCCGTGTCTAGGACTCCTCCCCCGGCCGGCGGCGCTGAGCCCCAGGGCCTGCTCCCCGCCCCGGCCCCACGGTGTGGACCGACAGTCCCACAGCGGTTCCCCCACCCGCTTCTCACCCCGCATGCTTCTGAGATGCTCCCAAGTGGGTTTGGGGGGGGGGTCACTCCGTCACGCACGGCCACGCAGGCTGTCACCAGCAGGGGGCGCTGGCTCTGCTCCCCGCACCCCTGCCCACACCTGTACCCACCACCTTTTCACACTTTGCCCAGCGACTTCATTTATAGCCCCGACACGGAACACCTTTCACTCCTCCGTGCGCCAGGCCCTCGTCCCAACGACCACCTGTTTGCTGCAGGTGTGAGTGCCGCATGACCCCCCACACGCGGTATCTGCCGTCCAGGCTCGCGCCTGGTGCCTCTGTCAGGGGCTGGGTGTCAGGGCAGGGACTTGCCTGGGGGCAGCTCCCGTTCGCTCCCGTTTCCAGGACAACCTGCTGGCCTCAGTTGCCCCCAGGGCCAGTTCAGACTGGCCCAGGCCCCGCAGGGTCAGCTGGGGGGCGGCCTCGCTCGGTGTCCCCCCGTCCTTGCAGAACCTTTGGTGGGCATTTGTGGCTCTCCGGTTCCCCTCGGTGCCTGGAGCTTTGCCTCCACGCTCGCCTGCCGTGTCCTGAAGTGTCTGGGACCGGCAGCAGCTTCACCCTGTTCCCCATGGGGAGCTGCGTGTCCCCAAATGACGTCCTCCCATCTCTTGTCTTCTCGTGCTTTCTCGTGTGCTTAAGTACACGTAATTTTTACCACTTTAAGGTGTACAGTTCAGGGCCACTAAAGCACATTCACAGTGTTGTGCGGCTGCTGCTACCGCCCGTCGCATCTTCCCAAACTGAAACCCCACGCGCTAAGTCCCCAGCCCCTCCCCAGCCCCTGTTGCCCCCACTGCACTTCCTGAGTCTGACCACTCCAGGGGCCTCACGTAAGTGCGTCCCACGGCGTTTGTCCATCCGTGACCGGCTGATAATTCAGCACAATGTCCTGAAGGTTCATCCGTGTCGTGACGTTTGTCAGAACTTCCTTTTTTAAGGCTAAATCATGTTCCACTGCACGTACACTCACATTCCTCCTTCGATGGACCCCCGGGTTGCCTCCACATTTTGGCTACTGTGCATAATGCTGCTGTAAACACGGACGTACACCTGCGTGCTCGAGTCCTTCTAGCTAAGCTCTGGAGGACTCCACACTGCTTCCCACGGTGACGGCACCACTTCACACGCCCACCAGCGCTGCGCAGGTTCCACTTTCTCCACATCCTGGCCCGTACTTTTTTTTATTAAAGATTTATTCATTCATTTATTTGAGAGAGAGAGAGAGAGAGAGCGCAAGCAGGGGGAGCGGCACAGGGAGAGGGAGTAGACGACTCTCCGCGGAGCAGGGAGCCCGATGCGGGGCTCGATCCCAGGACCCCGGGATCGTGACCTGAGCCGAAGGCAGATGCTTCACCGGCCGAGCCGCCCAGGCGCCCCCCTCTTTTTGAGAGGAGTTACGGTCCCGGGGGTGAAGTGTTGTCCACTGTGGTTTTGATTTGCATTGCCCTAGGACCAATGATGTTGAGCATCGTTTTACGTACTTGTCAACCCCCGATATAACGGAAGAAATGTCTGTTCAAGTCCTTTGCCCATTTCTGCCTCAGGTTGTTGTTTGGTTTAGAGTTTTACTTCTCTATGCATTCTGGACACTAATCCCTTACCAGGTATGTGATGGGCACGTTTCTCCCACCCCACGGGCTAACTTTTCACTCTGTTGATGGTGTCCTTTGAGGACCAATAGGTTTTGATTTGATGAACCCTCATTTATCTACTTTTACTTTTGTTGCTGGAGCTGTTGGGTGTCATCCAAGAAATCAGGGCCAAGTCTAATATGGAGCTTTCCCCTGTATTTTCTTCCAGGAGTTTTGTACTTTTATGTCTCTGATCCATTTTGAGTTAGTTTTTGTACGTGGCATTAAGCAAGAGTCTGACTTCATTCTTTTTACAAATCCAGTGTTCCCAGCGCAGTGTGTGGACAAGACCGCACCCCCCCACCGCCCCCCGAGCGTCTTGGTGCGTTGATCAGCTATCTCTGACTTTGTTCATGGTATGTGTTTTGCCTCCCTAAAAGTTTTGTTGATTTTCCACAGGTGGTTAAATGTAACCATCTACTCTTTCCTGGCTTCTGGACTTGGACGCTAGGTTAACAGTCTGCCCCTGTGCATCTGGAGTTCATCCTGGTGTTCAGTCAGAGGTACGGCTACAAGTGTCTGTCTTCTGGATGGCTACACCGTTGCCCCGCATGATTTACTCAAAGTCCATCTTCCCCACTGATTTGAGATACCATCTTCATCCTACGCTAAGTGTCTGTGGGCATTTGGGTCAATTTCCAGACTTACTTTTCCGTCTTGATATTCATACATCACATGCCAGGACTCTTGCTTTGCTAACTGACGTTTTGTGGTATGAATTCACATCTGCTAGGACTGAACCTATTTTTGATTATTTTTTCTATTACACCAGTTTGGCATACTGAAAAAAAGAAGACAAACATTTACCATTCTTTTAAGTTTATTTTTTTCTTAGTGATCTCTACACGAAATGGGGGGCTCAAACTCATGACCCCGAGATCAAGAGTCGAATGCTCTTCTGACCAGGTGCCCCAAATATTTAGCATTTTTATTGTTGATGACACTGAATTGTGAAATGCCTGAGGAGGACCCTTGGTGCTGGGGAGCCTTCCCCTCCAAGAACTGGGTGTCTCTTCCTGTTGTCAAGGCTCTCGGTAATGCTCCAGGGTGTTTTAAAGTTTCTCTCAAGTAGGTTTGCCTGTTTCCTATTAAGTTTATTCCCATTTTCAGATTGGCCTTTTTCATTTTTCTTCTGGAGTCTGTTTATAACCATGCAGGCCACTGCTTTGCACGCAGTCGTGTGGACCCTCTTCCCGAACCCTCTGCTGTGGACTGGTTCCGGTCCATTCTCCTACACTGAACAGGCACACTCACATTCCTCCGTGGTGCTGCATGGGCCAATTCTTCCAAGATGGCACAGCTCACCGTGAGGATGGTGACTCGCCTGCAGCTCCGTTCTGTTCTCTCGGCACTGCTGTGGTTCTGGTTCTTTCTAGTTTTACTCCTTCAGGATAGAGGTTTTCTGCAAATGCCTGGTGCCCTTAGCCGTCAGTTGGTATGGAACAGGGCACCAAGACTGGATCAGCAATGTGGGTGGACTGGGGCTCAGTGGCTAAGGCAGCAACCTGTTTCTGCTGCGCCCCACCCCACAGCTCTGCCCAATCTGTGCCTGCCCACCAGAATGTGTCCTGTTGACCAGCCCTGCCATCCTGTGCTGTTCTGTGGGTTCTTGCCTTCTTCAGAACACTCTGTGGTCATTTCAGTGAGCTTGCCAGGAGGTATAAGCTTGTCTAGCCCTTGGTGAGAGGCTGGATGTTGGCGGACCCTCCGTCGGGGGAGGTCTCCTTCGACCCTGGCCTCAGCCTGAGCTCCCTGCCCTTTGTGAGCACATGGCCTCACTATGTGAGGCAACGGGGGCCCACGGTGAACACTGCAGATGAAGGTGGCTCTTGTGGGGCTTAGGATGGGATGACTCAGGGACGAAAGGAATGGTCAGCCAGGCTGGAGGCGATGCCTGACAAGGGGCCAGCTGCAGGCCGGCCTGCAGGAACAGCATTCCACACCGAGGAGCACAAAGAGGAAGGACACCATGCAGGACAGTGAGACAGAGGGTAGCCCAGGGAATCCCTCAGGCTGCAGTGAGCAGCTGACATTCCCGGAGGGCTGGGAGCAGAGGAGGGAAGCAGCATGATAACATGGAGGGAGAGGGACTCCCTGCCCCCAAACCAAAACCTGAGAGACTGCAGAGATGGGTCTGCACTCTCTTCCGGCCGCCACCCAAATCCCTCCCCACTGGCCCCCACCCACCGGGCCCTTCTTTCCCGCTCCCCTGCAGCCCCACTGGCCCCCACCCACCTCTCAGAAACTCGAGCTTGGGGGTGGGGGTTGGCTCTGCCCAAGAGCTGCCGGGAGAACGATGGTCCCCACCACCCATTCAGGATGGGGGCCCCCGAGTCACGCCCTTTCTCCTGCCAGGTGACACATTTGTGTGTTTATGTTCTGGTCCAGCAAGTCGAGGGGTCTGTGGCTTTGGCCCCCCAGGACCCTCACAGCCCTCACAGGTACTCCGGCAGGGGCCACGGCTGGAAGAGCACACGGCGGCCACAGGGGGCAGCTAGGGAGCCTGCTTTCCCGCCACCTTCTTATGAAAACCTCTGACCACAGCAAGCGTCCACGCACACGAGCCCAAGCGCACAGCCTGACAGGCTCCCACTGGCCACGCTGGCCGCCCTGTCACACCTGGCATGTGTCCGACCTCGCTCTGACCCTTGCACACAGGGAACCACACACAACTGTGGGCGTCTGGCTTCTCTGGTCCTGAAGCATCCCCAAGGGCTGGAGCAGCTGTGCCCCCTCTCATGGCTCGGTGGGAACCAAGCAACTGCTCACCCATCTGGTGTGAGGCAGGGGGACGGAGAGGTGCCTCCAGTTTGGGGCCGTCACAAGCAGAACCCCTGGGAATGTTTTGGTCACCACTTTTGGTGACAGTCCTGCTGACTGCCTGCCTACCTTGTCCAGGAGCTCTGCTGTGGGGCAGAGCTCCCCGTCACTGGCTCCCTCCTTGGGGTGCCACCCTCCCCACCCAGGGTGCAGGTGCTGAGGAGACCGAGGCAGGCCCCTCTGAAGTGCCCAGCAGAAACGGCCAAGGCCCAGTATGGGAGGCAGAAGGGGCCCCCTAGGTGCCCACTCAGGGCCCCGGGAAGAGAGCTGATGCTCTGTGAGCCTCCCAGCAGGCACTGTTCAGCCGTCCCCGAGGCCCAGTCGCCCCTTCTGCATCCCACCCGGACCAGCCCACCTGCAAAGCCGGTTCCTGGGGTTCAGCTTACCCAGTCCTGCGTCTGCAGCTGCTGCCTTTCGCCCTGGGCACCGGGCTGGTCCCAGGCCACAGTCGGGCTCAGAGCGGGAGAGAGCTGCCCGTGCTCTCGGGGCAAGGGCAGTCTGGGCTTCTTCCCCACGGGGGCATTAGACAAGTGCTTCGGGCGGTCCATCTCCAGCCCCACAGGCTGCGTGTCTGCACCTCCTGGGCTCTGGAAAAGGTCACCACCGCTCCCTGGGCCCCCCAAGCAGATGGAGGCAGTGTCAGGCCCCGCCAGGCTCACCTTCCAGCTACTGCACCCCGCGCCGCCCCGCCCCCGGGGCCCAGGCCTCCCACCTTGGCTCCAGCCCTGCGGGCATGTGCCCTCAGCCGGTCGCTGAGGACCCGCACAGAAGACCCAGACCAGTCACAGAATGAAGGGCCCTGGGCTCTCCCGGCCTCCCCCCTCCTGCCCCCTGTGACCTCACCTCGACGCCGCGCGGACCACACCCCAAGGGGGGCCGTGAGCCGGACGACGCTGCCCCTCTCCCCTCCCGGGGCTCTGCGGGCAAGGAGTGGGCTGAGGGGGGCTCACGGCAGGGGTCAGGAGGGCACATGGTGGAAGGTTGGCAGGAGGGAACCATTAGGGAGGCGGCAGTCGTTGATGGAGGAGCGCGGCACTTGGGGGAACCGAGGTGGGGGAGCGGCTGGGTACGGAGGGGTACGGAGGGGTGCGGGGAACCGTGGGGTAGGCTAGAAGTACGTGGCGCGGTGCTCCGGGCGTGTGGGGGCGGGGAGAGGTGAGGTCTGCGGGAGTGCGGGGTGCAGAGGGGCGGGGTAGGCCTGGGGTGCGGGGAGGGGTGCGGCACCCCAAGAGTACGCGGTGCGCAAACGCGGAGAGATGCGGTACGCTGCGGGTGCCGAGGCGGGGGAAAGGGGTACACTAGCAGCTTCGGCTGGGGTACGCCGGGGGGTACGGAGGCGGAAGGGCGGGTCCTCCACGGTGGGGGCGGTCAAAGAATGGGGTGTGGCCACAGCGGTTCGGGGAGCCTGAGGAGGCGGAACCGAGCCCGGCGGAAGTTCCCCTGTGGCTGACCCCGCCCCGCCGCTTCCGCTTCCGGCCTGCGCCGCGCCTGCGCTGTGGCCCAGGAGCCCCAAGGCGGGGGCGTGGTTGCAGGCAGGTGTGGAGTGTGACTCCGCGGCGCTCGGAGGGGTCTCCTCGCAGATGCCTCCCTTCTCCGCCTCTGGAGAGTCTCCGAGGCGTAGTTCAGGGCTCCTCGGCCGGAGCCCTCACAGGCGCTGCGCTCGCGCCCCCTCCCCCCGTTCGGCCTACAGGCCCTGTACCCTCCGTGGCCCCCCGCTCCCCCGGGCGGAACCCACCGGCCGCACCCACGCCCCCCGGCGTCCCTCCCGTGTCGCCCCGCTCCCCCGGACGGTGCCCCCCACGCCCCCCCAGCGGAACCCACCGGCCGCAGCCACGCCCCCCGGCGACCCCCCCACGTTCCCCCGCTCCCCCGGGCGGTGCCCCCCACGCCCCCCGGCGTCGCCCCCACGTTTCCGTGCTCCGCGGGGCGTGGCCCCCACCGCCCGCGTCCGTTACCCGGGGGCGCTAGCCGGCCCGCGGAGTGCGCGCCGGGGATGGAGCCCGGGGCTCTGCGGACCGTGGGCCCTGGAGGAATCACACAGTAGGGAGGGAGGAAGGCCTGGGGGTGTCCCCAGGTTTATTAGTGTTGCATCAGCACCTTAAAATAGTCCACGTGGTCACATACGTGACAGATTAGAATCTGTTCCCCAAAGAGGCTATTTACATTAATCCTGTTTTCCATTTAAAAAAAAAACCCTAGCAACACGTACATCCTAGAAACTAAACAATGCACGATGAGCTGGACGGGGTCTGCAGAGACGCAGAGCGGCCCTCCTCGGCCTGCAGGTTCAGGCCCCCCGCGGTGGCCGCCAAGCGCAGCCCTCGGGCGCGGGCTCCTGCGGGGGACACGCTCTCCCGACTCCGCCCACGGAGGCCAGGTGTGGAAGGGGGCAGGGGGCAGGCGTAGGAGCTCCGGCAGCCCTTAGAAGCAAGTGGCCCTGTCTCCTAACGAGGAATCTGCTCCAGGACAAAGGCCAGGCCCCGGAGAGGAGTCTGGTCTTCCCGTCTGGGGGCAAGGACAGGGCAGCAAGGCCGTCCTTGAGTGCCATCCCCGAGACGCAGCCATGACACTGACTCAGGACCCTGGCCAGCATGCCCTGAGGAGACAGTGACCCAGGGGACGGGCATGGGAGGAGCGAGGAAGCAGTGGGACCCCGCCCGGCCTTGCCTAGCGGTGATGGGTGGCTTGCCCTTGGAGTCCCAAGTTCCAACTGGTCACCCGGTGGGCTGAGAACCCTTGCTCTGGGGGGGCTGCTTCTGCCGGGGCCACACACCTCACCCCCACGCCACCCCCACGTGCTCACAGCTGCACGGTTCTGTCACGGATGGCTTTGGCTTCTGCATCCTCTTCCTGGGAGGGACAAAGTGCTTTTCCATGGATCCTCAGAACAGCTCCATGAGGTAGGCAGGGGAAACGTGACCAACCCTGTTGAGCCATTGGGGAAGCCGAGGCACAGGGGTGAGCGCAGCCCAGGTCTCTGAGGGAGTCACGGTGCCTGGGGCTGTGTGCATGACCTCCTGGGCCTGGGGACAGTGTGGCGGGTGGGCCCCATGGCACTTAGGAACAGGACAGACCGCAACTGGGCTCTGTAGGCCCGGGGTAAAGGTGCTCCCCTTGCATGAATGAGGACATAGCTATGAAGTGGACGGGGGGTGGGGGTGGAGGGAGGGATGGTCCCAGGAGAGGGACTGCCCGCAGCCAGAAAGGACGTGACTGCCCCCCATTTGGCCCCTTCCTCTAAAGTCAGTTCTGCGCCTAGAAAGTGAAGTCAGGAGCCTCCCCTGTACCTCCTTCCTGCTGAGTGACTTTTGGAAAGGAAACTTGAGACCCAGTGACCAAGGCCCTGAGACCCAGTGGCGGGAACCAGGGCAGGGAGGCTCAAGGTCCCAGGGCCTGCTTCTGAGGGTACAGGCCACGGGAGACGCTGGGGCTCAGCAGCCTGCACCTTGACCCCGTCCTTCCAGGCCAGGGTTCGGCTTAGGGCCCCTGGTCCCAGGAGCTGTCAGGGGAGGAGTCTGGGCCCTCATGGGGAAGGTCCTCTGCCCACAGGCACCCCCGAGGCAGGGCCATACACAAGGTCAGGCCCATGTCCTCCTGCTCCCTGACTAGCCCGGGGCCACTGCCTTGGGGGAGGAAGGAAGCCGGTAGGTCACAGCTAAGAAGAGTGGGCCATCGCTCACTCCCCCAGGGGCAGACCTGTCGGTGCCATGGGCTGTTGGTGAGGCCTGTCCTCTGGAAGAACAGGAATGGCCTGCAGCCTGCCCTGCATTTGGCACTGTGTTCTGAGCATAGCCAGTGTGGCCCCCTGGATGGGCTACCAGGATCCCAGGGCCACAGCTGCCAAAGGATGGGAACTGGTGGGCTCTTCCCACGCAAAGTGGGCTGCAGGGTTGCAGGGGGAGCAGCGGGACTGGGTTGGACTCTTGCTGCAGGTCAGGATGTCCCTTTCCTGCTGCATGGAAAGGCAGGGGGTGATGCTACCACCCAGGGTGGGACCCAAACCCAAAACCTTGCTCTAGGGAGCTTGGCCCAGAGAGGCCAGGGCTCTGTGCCTCTTCAGGGTACCCCCAGCTGCACCTACAGGTCCAGTGGTGCCTGGCTCCTGAGGCTAGGCTGCCCTGCCTGAGCTTTCACTGGCCACATGAGTGCTGTATGGGCCCAGACACCCGCCTAGCCGGCCTGGGGGCCAGGTGGGAGGAGGAGGCCGAGCGGGCTGGGGCCAGCTGTGGGGGCCACTGTGCTTGCTAAATTTGGGGCAGGGACAACCAGCAGAAGCATAGTGATGGCTCAAGAACAGCCAGAGGGAGAGTGAGGCGGGTGTTGGGGGCTGGGACGCGGGACAGCGCTGGCTGGCTCTGCCCCAGCCCCAGGGGCCACTGGGACATCGGAAGAGCACTGTCTGTTTGGCAGCTACATTATAACATGTATTTAAAAGCATTAAAAATATCTGCTACTATAAAACCTCCGCTGCCCCGCGAGGCTGGAGTTTATTGGGAACCACAAGTGGGTGGTGCTGGGGCATCTCTCGGCTGGTGGGCAGCTGGGCCCAGGCCTGGGCTGCCCGGCCGCCATGTTCTGCTCAGGGCGCCCCCAACAGGAGGCCGGCCTTCAGCCTCCAGCCACCCAGCTCTGTGTCTGGGCACACAAGCAGCCCGTGGATCTGTGAGGCCGCCCGCCTGACCCCAGCTCCCTGAGGAAGCACAGTCCTGGCTTTCAGGAAGAACAGGACGCGAGGGTGAGGACCCTTCTTGCTGGGGGGCTCGGGAGGTCCTGAGGCCAAAACACACCTTTTGTGATTCTCAGAGCTCAGCGCTGTCCACCTGGCCTCCCACCCCGCCGGCACATCTGGTTAATGAGCAGAGCAGTTAATGGGCTCCAGGGGGGGGCCCCTCCCCATGAGTTTCTGGGTTGAGAGCACGTTCATACTTAAGACTGTTTCTCTTTGTGTTTTTAAGGGTCTCTGTAGTAAACTGAAACGTTAACAGAAAAGCAGCTGGGCCCTCCCGGCGCTCGCCGTCCAGGGCTTCAGGGCAGGGCTAGCAGGTGGACTTGGAGTGTCCGAAGATGCAGATGGGGAAGTGCTTCACGTGGGAGGACCACTGGGCCGCCAGTTGGAAGAACTTGACATCGTTCCACTCCACACCATCGATGAGGACTGTGAGGACAAGACCAGCTGAGCTGCCTGCCCACCGTGCCCAGCACCCCCGGGGACCCCAGGCGCCCACGAGACACCTGCAGGTCAGTCCTCCCACTACCCACCCTCCCCTGGCTCCTGGCCAGCTTCTCCCTGATTTGGGGGACCTGCTCATCCACGCCCCCCCCCGCCCCAGCAGGGGTCTGCAAACTGGGTTCAAACACTCTCCACTTAAACCAGAAAAGCCACGGAGGAAGGCGGGGCAGTTCTTGACCACAGTGGTCATCAGACTCGAACTCATGAAGAGAAAACTGTTTGGGCTCCATATTCTGAAATAACTAGTTATAGAGTATCTTCTATAAAAGGTCTGAGATATATAAATCAATCTTAAAAGAATGGGAAGGATTGAGAAATTATTTCTCAGGATTTAAAAAGCTGTTCTATGCATACAAATGCTTTATCAAAATGGATTCGAAGCTCGAACTACGTGATACGCATTTCATAGCAGGACAAAAGTGTTTCCAGAGATGAATTTTAAAAAGCAGTCCAGCTTCCTCTGGTTTCCTTTCATATTTTAGACACCTCCCCGCGGGCTCCGCACTGAAGGAAGGACGTCTGGACAACTGGCCTCCCACGAGTGCTGGGGGCCCCCGCAGGTGCTCACCCCTCAGCATGTTCTGCTGGTGCTTGGCTGTGCAGATCAGGCGGCTGATGCCCTCGATGCACTGGCTCTTGGACTCCACATCCTTGTCCTTGGTTTTCTTGGGCAGAAACATCACTAGGAGGGAAAGGGCTGCAGGGTTCAGCCACGGCCCTCGGAGCCCTGCTGTCCTGTGCCACCCACGTTCCACTGTGACCACGGCCGCCAGCCCTCCTGCCTGCCAAGGTGGCCTCTGCTCGCTGCTTGTGGTGTGGTCAGAAGCGGCCCCCAGACCTGTGGCAAGCTCGGGGCCTGCATGGCCACCCCTCCAGTTCCCCCAGCAGTCGGCCCATCCCCCCACCTCACCCTTCTTGTTCTTCTCCTTGGTGACCACGGTCATGGACATGGTGGGCGTGGCCGCGGCCTCGCCACTGCTGGGCAGCCTGCTGACCTGGAGAGACCGGAAGGTGCACTTGAGCGTGTTTTTGGTGGCGGGCAGGTCCTTCTTCTCCACCTCTCTCTTCCTGTCTGCGGGCAGGGCTGCCGTCCAGTAATCCACCTGCAGCCCCATCAGCTCGGCGCCGACGCCCTGGCTGCAAAAAGCAGAGGGGGCCTCACTGCTCTGTCCTTGCCCGGCGGCTGGCACAGGCAGGAGGAGGTGCCGGCTGGCGCCCGTGTGGCCCATCGCCGGGGGCCGCCTGCAGCAGCCAACCCGCAGAGGGGAGCCCCAGCCCTGGAGCCTACTGCAGTCCGTCCCTGGCCTCCGGGAACAGCCCAGTCTGTGCCTGTGGGTGGGCACGGCCGCGATGCGACGTCACCCAGGAGCACCTGAGCCTGCCGCCCGTCTGCTCTCAAACCACCCCTTTGAGTCTGGAGGGCCAAGGTCAACCAGCCTCATCTGAGGTGTGGCCCCCATGGAAGTCGGGAGCAGCCCTAGGACCCTGTGGCCCATGGGGGTGTGGGTGAGTTCTGCTCACCAAAGACCCAAGGGTGGCTAGGAGGGGCTGCTGACCACCCCACCTCCTGGCTCCCACAGCTTCTACCCACATCTCAGTCTCCCGACCCCTGTTTGCATGCAGAGTCCCCCAGTCACTTACTCCGTGTGGTTTCTGTCCCTAGTGCCCCCAGGGCTGGGGGGAGGGGGACAAATCTCCTAAGCCAGCCAGAACCTGGGCCACCCCCACCCAATGGGGCACCTGGCCCCAGCAAGCCCGTGTCTTCCCAATGGCTGTTCTGAGCACCCCCTCCGGCCAGACCCTCAGCTTGCTGGCATCCCAGAGGTGCAGCCACGGCCATGGCCGTGGCCATGAGTGGTTCTCAGTGCTCTCTAACCCGAGGCCCCGCTGCATCAGGGGCACGCTCAAGTCAGGATGGGGTGGGGCGCCTGCCTCGTGCGGCCACGTTTACCTGGGGGAAGACAGGCCCCCGCTCACTGACGGGGAGGAAGGCGGGGTGGGTGAGGCCTCCTTGGCCGCGGGAGACATGGACGGTGGGGTGGATGAGAGCACGCTGGAGCCCGAGGGGGCCGCGTCATCTGAGTCACCTTTGGGAAGGAGTTGGGCAGCGCTGAGCTCCCCTCTGCCTCTGTCCCCCCGAGCAGCCATGGGGGGAGGGGAGGGGAGGGGCTGCCAGGCCTCCCACGGTGGGGCGCCCTCCCCTTCCTGGCCCCGCGGGCAGGGAGCATGGGGCTACCTGACGTGGCTGAGGACGGTTCCACTATTCCAACTTTCACCACCTGGAAGGCAATGGGACGCCGGCTGGCAGCAGCCTGGAGAGTCACCAGCCCTCCCGCCCAGGTGCTGGGCTCCAGACAGACGACGAGTGCTGTCTCCCCGAGGGCGCCTGGCTGCCATGCCCCACCCTCCCGGGAGCTCCGGGGCAGGGGCAGGGTCTCGGTTCTTCCTGTCTTTGCAGCATAGCTGAGCCCAGGGTGGCATGGGCCGTGGCTGAGTGTCCCTGTGCGGGACAGGGCTGCAGAAGCACCCTCCCGGGTCATCCTGCACACTGGGGCGGGGGCACAGGGCCCACACTGCGGCCCCTCCACAAACCCTGAGCCCACGGCTGGCCTGGTGTGAGGGACCCCTGCCCAGCTAGGGCCTGCACCAGGCGCCACATGGGCTGACCGGTGTGGGAGCCACGGAAGAGTAAATGAAGTGACAACTTATGTCTCAGTCACATGGGTGCTTCCAGTGTCCACAGGGTGTTTGGAGCTGCTGCATCCAGTGGGTCAGGACCCTCCTGTCACTACAGAAGGTTCCCCGAGACAGGCTGTCCTGGACTAACTCCGGCCCAAGAGGGCTGCTAGCTGCCCTGACGGCCAGCCAGGGTAAACGACCGCGTGGACGTCCTGCTCTGCCCGGTGGCCCCGTCTGCCAGACTGCCCATGGCTCTCATAGCAGATGCCGGGGCTGGAGGCCACGCAGCAAGGTTCCCGGCTATGAAAACTCACGGCAGTGGCCCCTCCAGCCAGCACGGAGCAGCTGTTAATCCTCAGCCGTGGGAAAAAAGACAAACCTCCCAATCTGCAAACCACACTCCCAGCTGGGCAGGCTGGTACGGGAGGCACCCCTTCCTGTCCTATAGCTCCTAAGGGACAGAAGCACCACTCTGCCCCATCCCAGTGGGACCTGTCCCCAGACCCTGCTGACCCTGGGCGCCCACCCACAGCCGAGTCTGACACAGCCCGTGTGCCCAGGACGTGCTGAGCGCTGAGCACCGAGCCCTCGCCTCCAGGTGAACTGTTTGCTTGCACCTGTCAGCCTCCAAGCAGAGCCGGGGGCAGTGACCACCTCTGGGCCTAGCCCTACTCAACATAGGAAGGAAACAATGAGCTTTAAGATGGGGGGGTTGATTTAAAGGAGCACTCAGCTCAAATTGGTGAAGAAGGTTCTTGAACATATCAAGTTAATGCAAAACCAGACTTTATAAAAAAAAGTTTGGCAGACTGATTATTTCCCATGCAGGTAAAGCCAGCCACACGGGAAGAATGCCTCGGGTACGGCAAGAGCCCCACCAGAGAAGTACTCACCCCTACGAAGGGAATGAACTTTTGAGAGGACTCTTCGTCAGGGCTAAGAACAAGAAACACAGACAGTTACCTCTCACTCCCCCAGGCAGGCAGTAGCCAGGGCCTCATGCCGCCCATGCCATGCCCACACCCATCCCTGCAGTGCCTGGCCTGGCCCTCCGACCCTCAGCTCAGCTCCCTGCAGCTGAGGTCAAGAGGCCTGTGGGAAGCTGTGCAGGAACCAGCTTCTCCAGCCCAGGGGCCTGGTGTCCAGGCCCGACCGCCTTTCTGCTAACCCTGCAGGCCTCCGTTTCCACACAGCCCCAAGATGACAGCTTGCTGCATGTGCCCCAGGACCCCCCCATGGGACAGTCTGGGCTTCCTCCAGTGATCGGGGGTGACCAAAAGCCAGAGTGTGGAGGTTTTCTCCTGGACAGTCTAGGTAAAGTCCACACCAACCAGAGAGACAGGGCAGGGGCAATTTCCAGGCCTCTGACCTCGGGGGTTGGGTGCACACACCATGCTCTGGCAGAGTGCCACCCCAAGAGCAGCCTGAAGGGGAGACTGAGGCTTCGGGGCCGTGCTGCTGTAGGAGGCCGGCCTGCATGGGCGGCCGTGAGGTTCTGTCTGGACTGGGCACCCCATGTCTTCTAGGAGAGCCTTGCCTTCCCTGGGATTGCTGGGGCAGGCAGGCATGTCAGAGGTCCCTCCGGGGCAGGGGGGGGGGTGGGGGCAGCAGCCAAGGGGACGCAAACCAGCATCTGAGTTCCGTGGGCCAGGCCAGTCCTGCAGCTCATCCCTGCAGCTGGCTCTGCAATGACTGGTCTCCACCGCGGGGCTGGGGCCTGAGTGGCTCTCCCGGTGGGGGACAGGGTGCTTGGGCACCAGGCTCCCAGGCTGCTGTAAGAGCAACTCCTGGCCTTTGGGAAAACCCACCGGGCAGGGCCAGTTCTGGGCCTCCTGTGACCTCAGAGAAGGGGGGCGCCTCCTTGCCCCAGCTTCCCTGGCTCTCAGGCCATCCCCCCAGCCCTGCTCCTGTCGGGAAGGAGGCGGGCGCCCGGCCAGTGCTCCCCAGGGAACGCACACCGGGCGCCCAAGGCCGGTGCCAGCAGGAGGCGCTGTCCTCACCCTGCAGCACAGCACCCGCATGAGGGGACCGGGCTGGCAGGCCCCTGGGCGCCACCTGGACACAGGGACCATGGCCTCTGCCCCGGCACCGCCCATCACGCCTCCGAGGACGACCTGGCAAACGTTTCTGGATAAAAGAACCTACAGATCTGGGCCATCCCACTGAATATGGCCAAATCCCCAGCCTTTCTGACCTGAGGGGAACAGAGCTTATCCACAGATAACACAGCAGTTCGAACCCCGTGCCCAGGCCGGCTTTCACATGCGAGGTCCTCATGGGCCCCCGGCCGAGGGCGGGGGAGGCTCCAGCCCACAGGGGTCCAGGACCCTCCCCAAGAGCAGCACGCAGGGAGGCAGGCGAGGGCCTGGCGGGGCCGCGGGGGAACACCACCACACAGGGATGCTGCTGGACTCTGAGAAGCCAAGCTGAGCCCTGGCCATGCAGACGACATTCAGCACTTGAGGCGCGCCCAGCGGGACAGGGGTGACACCGGCTTGCCACTGAGGCCTCGCCACCTGAACTCTGGACGCAGAGGGAGCACGCGTGTCTCGGGCGGGGCACGGGTCAGAACTCCTAAGGCTCATACGTGTGGCTCCATGGCGGGGGCCCCTGGGCCTGTGGCTCATGAGACCACGTGGGGGGAGCACAAACGTGCCTCAGCTCAACGCTGGGAGCACAGAGCTGGGAGGGCGCTGAGGACATAGTGCCCTGGACGTCACCCCCACCCCCAGGGGACCCGAGGGAGCTGTTGGGGCCGCACACCGCAGGCGTGGTCTGAGGTCAGGCCAGGCGCTGCGTGAGGTCTAGAGCCTCCCTGCAGGTGCTCTCACGGGGGCAGGAGGAGATGGGGCCCCGAGGGCCATGTCCACCGCCTACCCTCTCCTGGGTCTCCTGACCCACAGCAGACAGAGGTGGCCTGCTGACCTCCTGGTCCCGGGCTCCAAGGGTGGCCAACACACTGGGCCTTCCTGGGGCCCCAACCCAGGGGCCGGTGTCACCACTGTGACGCAGAGGTGGGGGCAGGAGTCATGGGACGAGGGCCAGGGTCCCCTAAAGCCTGGGCTGGAGAGACGAGGGGCTGGTGCCAGGCAGCAAAGCAGGCTGCGGGTGTCCGCAGGATGGCGCCCAGGGCGGCTCGAGCAGTCACGGGGCACGCCACGGCTGGTCTTTCTTTAGCTCACAGAGGCTCGTTTAGCAGGGCCACATAGGGACGCAGACCCCTCCTCCTGGTCTGTCCAGCAAGGAGGCTGCCTCGGGCTCAGCGACCCTGGGCTGGCGGGCTTTCCCAGGAGAGAAAGAACCCAAGACCCAGGGTGGAGCGGTGCCCCGAGGGGGGCCCGGCAGGCAGGCTGCCAGGACAAGAAAGGGGAACCCCAAATGAAAGGGCAGCTCTGGGGGCGCCTCGGAGTGTGGCTCCCAACATGTAGGTTTTCAAGGGAGGAGCCACCTGCAGGTGAAAAGCCCCTCACTGCACGTGGGGGTCTCCGCGGTCTGGCCACCTGCCCAGTTGAGCCACAAAACGGCCGGGAGACCCTCTGTGCCGCTCTCTGCAGCCCCGGGCGCAGGACCCAGAGCCAGGCTGGGAGTGTGCACCATCTGGCGGGCCCCCCACCCTTTGGCCTGCACGTCCCCACGTGCAGAATCGGCAGCAATGAGTCAGGTCATCAGCTACAAGGTGGTGGGACAAAAGTCCAGACATGGCATCAGTGGCCAGTGACTCGTGGTAAGACCCCAAGCACCTGCTTCTACTGCAAGAGGTGGTGCCCAGGGCTTCAGAAACACAGAAACTCACTCACGGGGGGGTCAACTTGGCCGCTTCTTCGACTCAAACTCTGGACTGCAGCGGACAGAGGACAGCCTGCCCTTCGAGCTGGGTGGGGGCCGGAGAGCAAAGTCCTGGCTCGGGGCACCCACCCGCCTGCCGCTCAGTGGAGGGCCCTGCCTGACAGGTGGCAGGGTACGAGACGCCCCCCAGCTGCTCATACTGCTAAACAGCCCTAAAGACCAGCCTGGGGACACAGGGACGCAGACCCAGGGACAGCGGTACCTGAGGGTAAAGTCAAAATGAAAGTTCTTTTTCCTTTTCAGAAAGCCACCAAAAGAGAAAACACAGACATGTTATTATGTGCTCAGCACGCACGTCACAGTGTGGCATGGCTGCCCGGCTTCCAGCTCGGGGCCCACACAGCCGCTGCAGCTCGCCGACGCGTCAGCTGAATTTCCTACCCCCACGCCGGGAGAGCCGCGGAGCGTCCCGCGGACGGGAGCCCAGACACTTCGCAGAGTCGGCCCTTTGGCCCACCCTCCCTGCACTGGCCGTCCGCCCTTGCGGGCCGGCAGCCAGACCTCCGCCCGGCCTTGGTGGTGGCCCCCCGCTCCTGCCCGCCATCCTGCCCGGGGTCAGGGCGAGAACGTGTCTCCGGGCCCGGGAAGCCCAGGAGGTTGAGGGAGCCCAGGCCTGCGTTCCGGTGAGCAGGTCACCACTAGGACAGGGACGCATTACAGTTATTCCTTTAACCTTCATTATGGAAAATTCCAACGTACAAAATAGAGAAAGATCGACCGGTGCCTTCTAACCAACTCAGAGGAGGACCTGGGGCTGCCAGGCCCTCTCACGTCGTTCCCCCCAAGCCCAGCCTGGGTTCCGTCCCTTGGCCAACCAGGTCTGTCCCTGATGACCGTCCCAACGAGCCCCCCGGTGCTGCCCGAAGGCTCTGAGACCAGCAGCGGGCAGGGAGGCCCACGGAGGGCCAGCAACTGGGGGCGGCCCGTGTCTGGGGCGCGGAGCCGGCGCCCCCGCCCTCCCGCACACCCCGCCCTGCCCAGGGCCCAGCGAGGTACCTCTTCTGCTTGTAGGTCAGCATGGCCTCTGCGATGGGCAGCTGGTGGGCACAGTTGGCGCCTGCGATGTACTGGGTGATCCTCGACACGATGTCCGGTGTGTCCTGCACTGCACGAGAAGGCCGGGCAGGGTCCGTGGGGTGCCCCCAGGGCCGCCCAGCTCCCAGCCTGGGAGCAGTGGGAATGCTGGGGGCAGCTGAGGGCCCCCCCTGCCCTCACGGCTCCTCCGGATCCCTGGGAGCCCTCGTCCGGGACCCCGTGGCCCGCCAGCTCTGAGGCCCATGGCGGCCAGTGGGGAGCACCCGGCTGAGGCCCCACTTCTGCTCCCGGAGGCGTGGCGGCTCCTGGAGGCAGGATGCGAGGGCAGCCCCCACCCGGCCGGCTGGCCCCAGGCCTCACCGGCACTCTGGGCCTCCAGCTTGTTGAACAGGTCTCTCCAGGCCAGGTCCTGGAAGAAGTTGTTGTAGCGGTAGTCCACGGAGCCCAGGTACCTGGCCACGGGGTGGGACCCTGCGGGCCCAGGGGAGAGGGTCAGGCTGCAGGGCCCGCTCTGTGGGCCCTCGAAGCCCCTCCCTGCTCCTGGGGGCGGGGGCGCCGCTGTGGACCACAGAGGGTGCGGGGTGCCAGGCAGACCCCCCCAGGACCCGGCGCCTCCCAGTAACACGTCGTGCGAGCCACAGATGCGGAGCCACGTTCCACGGGGTTTGATCGTTTACAAGGACTCGCGACCACCCTGCCCTGCTTCTGACAACAGCATCGAGTTAGCCCGACGACGGGGTGCGGGGCCCCAAGGGTGCCCAGCGCAGGGGCGAGCGCTCCACGCCTGCCCCCCCGCGGGAGCCTCTCACCCAGCGGGATGATGAGAAAGCGCATGTAGCCCAGCCAGTCGGGGGTCTTGTGGGACAGCTGCTCCACGAAGAGCCGCAGGATAGCGCTAAGGTAATGCTGCGCTCCCGCCACGGCGATCTTCACGGGGGTCGGCGGCTGTGAGTTACAGTTGCAGCTGTGGCCCCGGGGGCAGGACAGAGAGGGGACAGATGCCTCAGGGAGCCGCGCTTGCTGCCAGGTCCCCCCCGCCACGGGGACCCCCCACCGCCCAGATCCGGACGGAAGGCGGGCCGTGGGGGGCCTGTGGGTGGGCACGTCTGCGGCCCACCACCGCCCCCGGACACAGCCCCAGGCGAGCCTGGGATGCAGGGACCCCGACGGACGCCCCGGGGCAGCTGGACTCACTATCTCTGTATTCTGGAGACGATGGTGCTGAAGGCCGCTTGGACGTCAGCGGCAGAGCACGTACACACCACGGGGAGCGTGTGCTTCTGCAGGACCTCCGACAGGAACTGGGGCGAGGGCGCGGAGTGAGCCTCAGCGCTCCACCCGCCTCCCGTCAGCGCCACACCCCCACGACACGCAACGCCAGGCGCGGGCTCTCCCCCCGCGGAGGGGACGCCCCCACCCCACCCCGCCCCGCTCCCACTGCAGGGAGGACCCCTGGCCCCTCCCCACCTGCCCCTGCCAGTCGGAGGTGTTGACGAGAATGATGTTTTCAGGGAGCTGGTCATCAGAGATGAGGATGTGGTTTAACTGGTCATACACGGTCTTCCTGGGGATCTGGAGACACAGGTGTGAGGGGTGCTGCAGCCCCTCACCTTCCAGCTGACCCCCACCCCCAGCAGCCACCCAGCAGTGGGCAGGAGAGGCCGGCCCTGTTCTTGCTCAAGAACTCGGCTTTGCACTGGACAGGTCACTGGGCTTAAGGCTCCGTGGGACCGTCACAGCCCGCAAGGTGGCCGGGCCGCCTCCCCCTTGAGCTGCCAGCACTGGGTCAGATCTGGGCGGCCGTGGCCTCTGCCCATGACCTGTCCTGGAGTGCGCACCTGCAGCTGGCTCCTCGTGTCCGGACAGCGCTCATTGTCCAGACTGTTGGCCCGTTCGCTCTGCGGCCGCGCGGGCTGCCGCTCCTTCAGGGACGTGCTCCGGCCCCGGCGGCCGGCCTGCTTCCCCTCGGACCTGCCGGGGAGCAGCACAGGCTGGGGCAGGCCCACGTGCTCGCCGCCCCAGGGAAGGGGGCTGCTCAGCGGCGGGGCTGTGGTGGGTTCACGGAGGGTGGGAGGGCAGGTGGCAGGCAGTGGGGGCTCCTCTGGGGGCAAAGGGCTGACGTGGAGGCCGCGCACACACTGGGCACATGCGCTCTCCACGTGGACATAAGGCCTGATACGACACGGGAGTGCTGGAGGCACGGAACCATGGCCCCAGGAAGGGGGCTCCGCTGTCCGCCTGCAGAAGGCCCCAGCCCAGCGGGTCTCAGGGCAGGAACGCAGGTCCTGGGGGGTGTGGTAGTACGTGGCCACACATGGCCGTACAGAGGGCGCTGGGAGCTCGGCCAGGTGCCCAAGGAAGGTGAAGACAAGACGGGCTGGGGAGCACGTCCCAGGGAGGGGCTCACAGATGACCCCCAGACTGACCGAGACGGCAGTGGGGGCGGGTAAGAGACGCCGCGGGAGTGACCCCCACGGGGAAGCTGCCCAGGTCCTTGCCACCCAGACGCCCTCCTCTGTGATGCCCACCGTGAGGGGCAGGGTCCTGGCCCCACAGAGCTGCCGTGCCGGAGGCTGCCCGGGGGCTGCTGCTGTGCTTGACCACACCGGACTCTGGGCCCAGCTGGGCACACGCCTCCCGCACCAGGGCTACGCTGGTCCATAAGGTGCCAGTGAACAGTGCCAGGGGCAGGAAAACGTGAGATGGGCAGCCGGGACCACACCTCAGCCCCAGAAGGCCTGCTGGCAGCTAGCTACAAATAGGGGTGTGTGGGGTCCCACGTGGACCTCTGGGGCAGGCCCCGAAATCTCTGTGCTCCTAAGTGAGTCTCATCCAGTCACGGGGCCCTGCCCGCCACACTGGCTCATGTGGGCAATGCCTGGCCGACAGCCTCCCCAGGGCATCCTGTCACCTGGTGGAGGGGATGACGAGGGACTCCGTCTTGGTGATCCGCCCGCTGGGCGGCAGCTTCTCGGTGAACACGTCCAGAGCGGAGGTCTCCACCTCCGGGCTGTCCTCGGGCTGTGCGGGCTGCTCCCCGGGGGCGGGTGTGCTCTGAGATGCAGAGAAGGGGGCCCGATGGTAGGCACGTCCTGCGGGAGCCTCCCCTCGGGAGCCAGTCTCAGGCCCGAGGAGCCCCTGGTTTGGGTGGGGTGTAGGCTGGTTTCAGGCTGACAGCTCTCCACATGCGGCACAGATGCTTCCGCTGGGGAGCCGAGCTGACCTCCGCTTCCAACCACGGGGCTCCCGGTCCTGGCTGCCAGGGGAGACCAGCACCAAGCCTCCCCCAAGCCTCCCTAAAACCTGCCCTGCAGCCCAGGACACCTTCCTCGAGAACCCCCATGAGGGAAACAGGGGTCAACTATAGTGTTCACGGGGCCTGTGCTCAGCAAAGCAGGGGGACACCCCCTGTCCTCCCAGAACTAAGGTGATTCCGGACCCTGACTGTCCCTCGGGGTGGGGGTGAACCCAGGGGCGCCCTCATTGTGGTTCTGTGCACTGGGCCTGGGAGGTGTGAGCTCAGGACCCCACGTTGAGGCCTGCCCTGAAGGCAGTGTGTAAGTGGGCTCTGTGCTGGACCCAATGCACGTGTCCCGCGCCTGCTCACGTGGGTTGTGTCCGAGACGCTGTCGCTTGGCTGCTTGCCTCCCAGGGCTCGAGTCTTCTCAGGCACGTCGGCCTGTGTGGACAAGATGGACATCAAGATGTGTTCAATGGTGGGCACAAGGCTGGCTCACCTCCGGGCAGGGAGACCTGGGCTTGGGAGCAGCCGGGGATGACTGGCCGGGGCTTTCTTAGACCGTGGGTGTAGGGTCACCCCAAGACAGGCATGTGGCATTGGGCAGGGGATTCCAGCCACATACAAACCCAGGAGCACAGTGTAACACCGAGTGTAAGTAACACTCTGAGCGACCCAGGGAGACGGGGAGATCAGGACAGCCCACCCCTGGCCTGAGGTCCCACCAGGAGGGAGGGGCTGCCGGGCCTGGCCTGCTCACGGGACTCGGAGGCTCCTTGTGGCTCCGGACACTGTGGATGCTCCCGATTTCCGTCTGCGAGCTGGAGTGTGACAGCCCTTCGAAGTAGGGCCTGGGTGTGGGGACGGAGAGAGGTCACGCTCCAGGACCCTCCCCCCACTGAAGGGTCGGCACTGTCCTCATGGCATCTGGCAGCCATGCAGGGCTGGGAACCATGGCCCTGGGGAGGATGCTGAGCACCACGCAATCTGCCGCCCTTCTCGGCTCCTCCACCGGCTTTGACGTCCGCATAAGACCTGCCTCCCTGAAACCCACCACTCTTGGCCTTTACCCTGGGCAAGGCGGCCGGCGGCTCGGGTGGGCAGCTCCACCAGCAGAAGGCTGGGGAGCCTCAGGCCCACGGCCAGCTCGCAGCAACACAGGAACGTGCTCAAGGCTGCCACAAGGGCACCATCAGCAGGACCCGGTGACCCCAGCCTAGCAGGCCAAACACCCTGCCCCCAGCAGACAGCCGGGGTGGGGGGCGCTCAGACTCAGAGACTCAGAACACAGTTCAGGCTGAAATGGTGGGCGCGGCTCAGGCAGTCTGGTGATAGAGCCCCCCAGGGACAGGGAAAGGCAAGGGCAGGGCCAGGGCCGGAGGTGCCCAAGCCCCCCCCGGGACTGTGAGCACCAGCTGGCCCATGGCCGGCAGCCGAGGTGACCCCATGGACGACAGAAGCAGAGACCTGTTCCAGCTGAAGGTGGCAAAGCCTGAGGTGCCTCAACGGCCTTGTCAGTTCTGCTGGTGGGGGGGCCGCAGGCAAGACACAGGGGGCGCTGAGCCTGTAAGTGGACCCCCCCAAGCTGCATCTGCAGCGAAGGCCAGTGACTGACACCTAGACCAGAGCCCACGGACGCCACAGGCGTGCCCACACGGGACTGGCCACGTGGGGCGGCGGGAGGTCAGCAGCTGCACAGAAAGCCCACCCTCCCCGTGGGCATCTCTGTCCCACCGACTCATATCAAAGAGTTAAGGGGCGCCTGGGTGGTTCGGTCGGATGAGTGTTGGCTCAGGTCATGATCCCAGGGTCCCAGGATTGAGCCCCGCATCGGGCTCCCTCCTCAGCGGGGAGCCTCCGCCTCCGCCCCTGCCCCT